ATATGCATGAGACGCATGGTCTGATGTGTGAAGTTTGAACTAACTTTAGTTTGAAATCAGTCCAGGCATTTGTTTTATATGCATGAGATGCATGATCTGATGTGTGAAATTTGAATTTTAGTTTGAAATCAGTCCAGGCATTTTTTTTATATGCATGAGACGCATGGTCTGATGTGTGAAGTTTGAACTAACTTTAGTTTGAAATCAGTCCAGGCATTTGTTTTATATGCATGAGATGTATGATCAGATGTGTGAAGTTTGAGCTTTAGTTTGAAATCAGTCCAGACATGTATGCGATATGGCATTGTGGAACTGTATTCGTTTAAACAAGATGACCACCAGTCAACCATTAGGCATTTAATTACGACAAAAATGCATGTGCATTTGTTTGATATATGATGTCAATGGGAGGTTTGAACTTGATCAGTCCAGATGTCAGATACATGTTTGAGAAATGATGATCTGTTGGAAATTTGTGATTTTGTTTTGTCATCAAATTATTAAATAGCACCATGTATAAATTTGTACGGTATTAAGCTTAGCGTTTTTACCAACAATAAACTAAATTAATCAAGACAGGATCGAGAAATCATACTGTATACACAAAATATGACCACCTGTTCATTTTAAATCAAAAAATCTAAAAACCATGCAGCCATGCAACGCATACATTTTTTGTCATGCATTCTTGACTACTGAACAAGCATGGTCCAAAGGTTATACATGGTATGCTATATTTATCAGAAAAGTTTGAACAATTAACACATGTGTCATGCAAGATTCTCATTGTAATTTTTGTCTTATAAATCCTTGCTTAAAGTCAGTATTTCAGAATCATGTATAAGACTACTTACTTTGGTTTCCAGGAAAAACTATAATTACTCGGTAGATTTGAATTAAATTCATTCCATGTACAGTAGATTTCAATATGATTAGTCGATGTACATCTCATGGTTGCATTGGGTTTCACTGACAAAATAAATTATTTTATTAATTATAAGTAGATTAAAACATTTAATAATTTATATATACAGTGAATTTCATGAAGGCATGATTGTTTTATGGAAATTTATAATTAATTTATAAAGTATTTATAAAACAAATACAATTTACCATGAAAGATCCTAAGCATTTCATTCAAGTCCAAAGAATATATTTTTATCGGTTGTAAAGGCCATTTGGTAACACTCATTTCCCATGAGTCTTTGTTGTTTTCATCATTGGCCAATTTATTGTCATGTACTCATTAACGTGTTGTGATTGGTCAAGTTGTTTCAAATCATCAATTTGAAATTTATACCAAGAATTTTGTATTATAAACTATATATCATATTTGCATACAGACATGTTGTACTAAAATATAATAAATGCATGTTTTTCTAATTCAAAACGAGGTAAAAAAGTATGTTTTTTTTGTTTCAATAAAGTAACATAATTATTAAATATAGATGCAAGTCATTGACTTTTGTGATTTTTTTCACGGTATGAAATATTGAAAATATGCAAAAATGGCATTATTTCATAAGAAATAAATAGTACATTCGGCATTTGTAAGAATTTCCCAATGATTTGTAAAGTGAAGGCAGCTCTAAACATTCCAGTAAAAAGCACACAGTGGATCCACTATGGATACACTGTCCTGAAGCTCAATGTAAAAATTTAAAAAGTGGGCAGGACACACACGATAGGCTAAAAACAGCAAAATGCAAAATAAAATGAACTAGTAGTGGTCAACAATAATTTTTAACATTTATTATACCTAAATATGATTTTTCACCATGTGTACAAACATAATTAATTCTGAGTTTTGCCAAAACATTTTTATGGGAAGTGTTAGTAAATGAATACAAAAAAATCATTTTCATGGATGTTTAACATATTTTTTGTGCAAAAAAAATTTGTAATAATTTATGATATAAATACTTACACCCGACTATGACATGTGTCTTTGCATAATTACTTTCGTCTGACATCATTTTACATGAGTAGTTGCCAGAATGACTCAACTTGGCTTCTTCAATAATAAGTAGCAATGTCTTATTGTCTTTTATATGATACTCCTTTTCTGGTATTTTGATTTCATTGAAACACCATGCTAAGTCATTTACTGTATATGGACTAGTAACATTCAATGAACACTCTAGATACAGCTGGGAACCCCTCTCTATCACTGTGTTTTCTAGCGTAATACTCGGCACTATAGAATAAAATACAAGTATCAATCAATGATTGATTCATTTATGTAAATGAAAAACAATTCATTTTACATGACATATAACATATGACCTGTTTTGGGGACTAATTTATTGCCTGCGTCAGAATACATACTTTAGTAATGGTGTTATATGTCACCTTTCCACCTGAGTGTATTAATATGTAAAAAGTAGTGCCTTTAGTATAACTAAACTTGATAGATGTAAATATCTAACAAACTCATTGGTGCCTAATTTGTTTAATTATTTCAAGGGACATAATTTCCATCTTTATTCAAAGTAATTCAGATATTTTAGTATAAAAACAAATGCCTCATCTCAGAAAAAAAGTGCTGCATTTAGACGTGAATAGATTCATTGTCGCATACGACTTGTTTACCACTTCCGTGTGACTGAGAATGTTCTAGAACCGTACTGTGTCTGGGTGGAATTTTTAGAAGTTGGTTGAATAGGTAATAGGACACTGTAGAAAGCAATAGAAGGTAATGGAACATTCTAGAAATTTGTAGTAAGTTCCAGACTCATTATGTATGCTGATGTAATGGTCTATTTATAGACAGTGTGGGTATATATAGGGGAGTTGTTCAGCACTGAGATCAGATCGGAGATCTCGTTGAATTGTATTGGAGTTTAAGTATCTAGTTATTGGAGTAGTGGAGTTTTACTGCGTTATTGTACTTGATGTTTGCAGAGTATAATAATACCAGTACCAGTTGAAACCTCATCTGTTGGCTCCGTGTTCGTATGTTATCATCGCCGCCAGGGAAGTCTTTCTGTTACTGTTGCCATTTTGGTATTTGAACCATCACACCTGTACTATACCAATTACGGTAATATTACGTTGCGTGTGACATTCATAAAACATGCAAGATAACAGAAAATCTAAGCTGGCTTTTGTCCAGTATTTTGTACAGGTGTCTGTCAAAAATTTATGATTCACTGAGACAAATATGAACTGCCTTATTATATTCATTGTGTGACTACTGTATTATTTGAAAAGTAAAAAAAAACGCTCTCTATGAATAGCTATTATGTTGAAAGCTCTGCTTTGTATGCAAATCAACTTAAATAGTTAGTTGGTGTCCAGTGGAGAGAGAAGTCAACAGTACTGTTGCCTCTTGAGAATCTACATCTTCAAACACTGCAATCTTTGTTTCTAAAGTGCGTTTTTAAATTAGTATTATAAAATCTCTATCATTCTGTTCTAATAGCTGAAACAATACATATATTTTAGTACAATTTTCTTTTCAAAATGTGGATGCAACATTTTGCTGTTTATGTATTTTTTATGTATTGTTTTTGATTTGATAACTTTTGACTAAACAGATTTTCTATTAGCTTCAGATCTTGATCATAGGAGTGTTTATATTGATTTTCTGACATCTAGTTTTCTGTAAACATTTTATTGGTAGGTTTGCAAATGTGTATCAGACTGTGCAAAAACTCTCTCCATGAGTCTAGTATTTCCATGGGAGATACATTACGAACGATATTATTACAAGATAAATGATTTGCTTCATTGAACACATACAACAATGCATATTTCCGCTGAGATCAGTGACCTTTGAATGTGTATCACCAGTGATCAGTCAAGTAGAAACTGTCAAAACAGTTTATCAGATTTTCCCAATTTTTGCATGATATTTTCACACAGGACATCTGTCGTTCATACTCGGGGAAGACTTTATACTGATGAATAAGGTGACCATGTTTAATAAAATTTGAAATAGAATTAGTAAAGTTATTGTGCACACAATAACAATTATTAACGATGACGCCAGACAGAAATTTTTCCCTTAATATACCTTTCCCTTCCATCTTTGATGTTACGGGCAAGGTAAAACTGGCAGAATATACAAGAAGTTGAAACGTAAAAACTCTCTGGTTTCTTTGATGTTTCATTTGTTCCTGAGTCAAAACATCACAACACAACACATGACACAACATAACATTTCATAACATGACACATATGTCTTAACATAGGACATGACATTCACTTACCTGCATGAACACATGGTGAACTGTACCAACATAACAACATACATACACTGGTCAACAGAGACATATACCAACTATGAAGTGTGAATGCCATATTGTCTTCTTTGTTAGATCTATAAGAAAGCAAGAAAGAAATTAATAATTTATATTTTGGCAATTTCATATTAATTTTCTATTTATTTTTAATTTTCTATTAATTTCTAGTTAATATAGCCATTTTTTCACTCAAAAATTTAACCATTGGTCAAGTTTCCAGCAACAGATATATAATATAAAAATGCGACGACTTGCTATAGCTTAACGATACACCGAAGAAGAACATGCCCTTAAATAACCTGACTATAAAACATTACATCATGTAATGATTAATTATTCATGATGCTTTATTCAAACAAACAAATGAAAACATAAACAAAAATGGCAACAGACATATTTAAATTGTTGCGGTGTTGAAATAATTTTCTCAGGCCTTTGAGCAGGCAATAAACTTTCTCAGGATATATCATCAAAAATTACAGCAAAGTAACACAGTTGAAAGTCAGTGTCTTTTAATCAGGACTAAGAATACATTATATTTCATAGAGAATGAAGTAACTATTTGTAGAAATGTCGATAAAAGACAGTATATCCAATTACAAATTTGTAAAACATGTATAAAGATATTACCTATTACCCATGATTCTCTGTCTCCCTCAAATAAGATCAATTTATGCGAAACATGTTTTCAAAACGACTCTAATTATTTGTTTACAGAAATATATAATTTAGTTGTATCGTTTATTCAATTTGGCATGGATTAACACATTAATTTCTTAGCAGTGGTAAAAATATTGTTTAATAATAGGTCAAAGGTGAAGTGCAACGGTATTCACCCACTAATACATCGTTCA